TTTATTGTGTAATCAAAATTTGGGTAAAAAATTTAAAGTCAAATAAGTAATTATTAATGATTACTTAATAACTTATGAGTCAATATTAACTTGGACGTAAATGGAATACTCAATTATTTATAGTTTAATAAATTACTCAACTACTTAAATTGTTTTGATTTGGATAGTTTATACAAATTTGTTACTTAAATTCTTTTGATTTGGATAGCTTTTACAAAAAACATATTTATTTTAATTAATGAAACAATATAAGTTTTATAATTATACTTATTATTCACATAGATTTAAAGATATGATAAAATTTTACCAAAAATGATTATTTTATGGAATCACATTGTAGTCAAATCAAATTTCTGAATAAAAAAATTAAAATGACACTTATTTTGAAATAATTATAATGTAATTTATTATCAATTATATGAACCGTACGAGTTGTGTACATTAAATATACATGTTTTATATTATTTTACACAATTTAAATTTCATATAACATTTTCAATAGATTAATATAAATAATTTGTATTACATATTGATTTTATATTTTAAATTATAATTATTATCTAACGAACATTTTAAAGTTATAAAAAATAATGAATGTTTCTTATCTCGTACTAGTTAAAAATTAAAGCTTGAGGGTATATTAAGGTATCCCGCCAAAATTGGTCTGGCAGAAGCATTTCAGGCCTGGCAACAATAAGTAACCCAGCCATTAGAATATGAGGCGAAAAAATTGAGAGGGAGACGGAAAAAATGGATTACACCGTCGCAGCGCTTAAGTTGCTGTGCGTACAACTGAGAAGCGCCCGCCACAGCCCTTCGCAGAAAGCCTTCACCCACAGCGTCAGCGGCATTCTCTTCCAACGCGCCTGGCTTCAGGTACGCACCGCACGCGCCTGTAATTCACACTATTTCCCACCCCAATAAAAAACCCTAAACCCCTGGAAATTTCAGGGCATTATCGTCTCCGTATCTTCTTCCTCCTCCTCGGACGGTGATGCGAGCGGCCGCTACCTCCTTGATGATGGGACCGGCGTCATCGAGCTGTACCTCACACGTGACTATCTCAGCCGCCCTTGGGAAACGGGTCAATAGATTCGTCTTCTACTTTCTTATCTCTCTCTGTCTCTGTGTGTGTGTGTGTGTGCGCGCGCGCGAGTAGCAATGATCAATAGCCTTGATTCATCTGTGTTTATGTTTCTTCAGGGATGTATGTAATGGTGGTTGGAGCTTATGTGGTCCGTTCAGATGATCTCCCGATGCTTAAGGTATATTACTTTTTATATTTTTATTGTTCTGACTTTTTTAATTCTTCTTCAATTTCACTCTCTCTCTCTCTCTAGATTTCATTTCTTCACCTGCTACATTAAATGGTATAGATTCTTTATGAGTGATCAGTGTGAGATATGTTGATTAAGATTCATTCTTTGTTTGATGATGTTGGTATATAATAAATTATGGTTGTGAATGTTGTTGATGGTGAAATTACCATGGACTGTATGGATTTCTGGGGTCAGTTGTTTGTATGATTGTAGCTCTCAGGTTCATAGAAGCTTTAGTGAATGCTTATGAACTGTGATCATGTCAATATAATGTACAAAAGCTATTACAATCTAGAAAGAAAAGGATGGAAACAAGGCAAAAAGAATGTAGAAATAAGAAAAAAAGAAAAGAAGAAGAATATGGGGAGAGAGAATTGTTAACATTGGCATTACTCGTTATTACCATGTCAAAAATCAAAAGCATTTGGATCTTGACATCTGCATTCACAGGTTCATAAAATGGTTGATCTTTCGGCATTTCCTGATAGGGAGCCAATGTGGTATCTTGAAGTCATGGAAGCCTTCAAGCTTTTCTACCAACCTCTTTCTGAAGAATGACAAAGAGAGGGAGAGCAGTAGGAACTCTTTAACTGGTACCAATTGACATGCTTTTCTCTGGTTTTTACAAATGATATTGTGGAAAATTGCGTGGATGATTGAGAAAAAGTTGTGCTGTTGATCTCATGGCGTCTTGTGGTTCTTGTCTAGAGGCTTTCAAGATCTTTTTGTCAAGCTAGCCTAAGCTCTTGTAGGTTGAACTGATTGAATGAATTGGTATCAAGGCTCAAGAGGTGTATCATGCTGCTTATGTTTCTTTATGTTGTGAGTTATCAAACTTTTGTGCTTTGATTCAAGTCTAGAAGAATTTGAGTTGCCAACATGCATGATTGCAAAATACTAGTTAGTTGCAAATATGCAGTCTCCTTGTGTTAGGATGATAACCTGACAAGGCTTTGTAATAAATAACTACTAAAATACCAGAATATCAAAATATTTGTTATATTGCCAAGCATTTTCCTTGCAATGTTTAACATGAACACTACATGCTTCATGTAGGATACTCACAATTTTGATATGTTCTTACATGAAAATAATAGATTTCTCGAGAGGCGTATAATCAGGCTGTAATCTCGAGAAAAGAAACGACATAAATGTGATTTCAGTTCACAATGACACCTTTTGTCTTCATGTTATCATGCAGCAATGGATAGTAACAAGCCATTGTAGGGAAGGAATGCATTGGTGTAGTTATGGTCCTCGAAAATCCAGGAATACCTGAAAAGTAATTATTTTAAGGCATATGTTAAATTGCAAACTTAGATTCTCATTAATGAATTCAAGTACTATATATATGACTAATATTATCAACTGTTTCCTTTGTGGATGCAAGATATCAGAATTTGGTGAATACAAAGAGTTTTTTTAAGCTTTAGCAGATAAATTCTAGTTGTTCTATGAAAAGAAAATCACTAATAAATTAAGTATCCATCTTAAGTTTCATAGCCTTTTTTTTCGAAGTTATAAAGTGGATATTTTTTAAATTCTTTCCAATCACTTTATTTTATTCCTTTCGCAATCAAACACGGAAAGGTTTTCAACCTTGACATGGCAAGTAAAAACACAAGTTCAAGTACGATTTATTTCGTCAATTAAATATCACAATACTATATTCCGAGGGACGAGCGTACGGGTCCAAGTAGAATTACGCAATGGGAGTAATTTAAGAATCTTCAACATTGTACGAGAAGCTAACATCTTTGTTTCAAACCTGTACACAGCTTTAAGCATAAACTTGGATTCTCACCTTTTCCAGAGCCTCTGGAGAAAACAAGAAAAGAAAAAGAAAAGAAAAACTAGAATTGGATTCCAAAAAAAATAAAAAATAAAAATTGAGGAGGCTTTTTACCGGGGCCATGCCTTTAGCCGACACGATGTCTATATCAAACAGCTTCTCTGAAAGGAAAGGCCATCCATTACCATTGGCAATGAGAAAAATTGACGTAGCACTTCCTGTAAAAAGTTACAGCTTTGAGAAAAATGGAATAAAAATCGTCGACGATAAAATGAGTTTCTTTTCATTTGCATTGAATTCGAATGTGAATTACAAACAATACGGTACCAACATTTTTAAGACTTGCACATAGACATGCCATATTTGCGAATTTATGTTAAATCGTGGCTTCACATTACATCTGTAAACTTAATTAACAGGATTCGGCTTATTAACGAAATTTGGCAAAAGTTGAACAATGAGAAAGACGGTAGCCTCATTTTAAATCATTTCTCGACTCTCAGAAGTCTTTCGGCCTAGAAATTGATGTCCCAATGATTCAAATTGTGAGCCTCTTTAGCATCATGTGCTCTGGCAAAGTCTCTTGGGTCTTCCATGTCTAGAGGATTATCAAAACAATCAGGACAACAAAAACCCAAAGTTTTACATTAAAGCCATCACATGAATCGAATCAAGGTTGTACTATTTATTGATCCAAATTTCAAATTATTGTGATAACACAGCATATCAACATTATTCTTCAAGCATTTGCAAACACTTGCATAAAATGTAAACTTTTGCTTCTGATTCTGTGTAATTTAATCATATTACATATGGAACTTTAACCTCTAGTATAGTAAATCGCTTCTTTCAATCGCTTATGTTCGTGCATGCATATAAAGTGGAACATGACCCCAAGAAGCATCATGAAGCTTGTCAATAAGATCTTTTGCTTTATCCAAGGTGGCCATTTTCAAAACTAAACTACTATGGAGATATTTCATCAGCTTTATTAGATTAATTTGGGAAGACTGTATCGAAACAAAATTATATATCTACTCGTATCCAGTTTAGATCTATATAACCTGAGCATAGTCATTATAGCCAAGAATCTTGGAAGAAAAAGGAGTGGCTAAGGCATGGCTCACGGCTAGGCTTGCTTGAAAGCGCAAGGGCGCTCGGCCGCTCGGCTAGGACCGCGCTCGCGGGGCTTCGCATGCTCTCGGTACTTGGGTGAGCTAGACTTATTTCCAAGGCCGTGAGGGATCCTTAGGTGTTCTATGGCTGTGCTAAGGTCTAAGGTTCGAGGTTCAAAGGCTTGGTTTGCTGGCGCGTGCGAGAGCTCGGCTAGGCGCTCTCGGTTTTCCATAATCACTCGAGTACACTTAGGCTCGATTCTCATTTCGACTCTGAATAAATATTCCCAGCTAATGAAGGAATAAAAATGTACATTTGTAAACTAAATGGTTCGAGACTTGAGCTAGAAGCTTGCTCGGCTTCGAAATAAAACTCATCTGAATTCCTCGACTTAAGGTCGAACTTGGAACTTAAGAACTGAATAGCTTACATTCGGAACTAAAAGCGAGCATTTATTAGTAAAAGAAAAGCTTACACTCAGAAGATAAAATCAAGCATTATTAATAAAAGAATAGCTTACACTAGGAAGCTAAAATCACGCTTTTATTAATAAAAGACGGGGTGTCCCATCCGAATCATTTTTCGACTTAAGGTCGAACTTGGAACTTAAGAATTGAATAGCTTACGTTCGGAACTAAAATGGAGAATTTACTGATAAAAGAATAGCTTACACTCGTAAGCTAAAATCAAGCATTATTAATAAAAGAATAGCTTACACTCGGAAGCTAATATCACACTTTTATTAATAAAAGACGTGGTGTTACAATCTATCCTCCTTAAAATTATTTCCGTTCTCAAAAATACCAAAACTAATGTACATGACCAGAACTCCTACTACCAACTAAGTACAAAAGTACAAACCGAACTAAAAAAAAAAAAATCGGATATCTAGCTCTAAACTCGGATATCTAGCTCTAAACTCGGGCATGACTCTTTCATGTCTTGAATGATCGAAAAGGGAAGAAATTTGGAGAGAGAAAGAGCCCGAGTTTAGAGCTAGATATCCATTTTTTTTTTTAGTTCGGATTTGTACTTTTGTACTTAGTTGGTAGTAGGAGTTCTGGCCATGTACTTTAGTTTTGGTATTTTCGAGGACAAAAATAATTTTAAGGAGGATAGATTGTAATGCCCCTTCTTTTATTAAAAAAGCGTAATTTTAGCTTCCGAGTGTAAGCTATTCTTGTTAGATATGCTGTAAAAGCTTGCTTCTAGATATGAACAATTCCATTTTGATCTGGCAAACATGTTTCGGTCAAAGTACATATGCTTGCAGTTTATTTATTTATGCAATCATACTCCTTATCTTACATTGAGATAGTGTGGTTCATGGTGTCACAAACAGAAAGGTCACCTATCGGTTCCTTGTAAGACTAAATTATTTGTTCACAGTCTAAACTGACAGTGAGACCCCACTTGGAAAAAGACTGTAGTGTATTCTTGATTCAATTGATCTTTGACTTGAGAACTACACTAGTACTTATGCTAAGTATTGAACAGGACCGTGGACGACTAAGATTATGAGACTCACTGATCGTTGTTGTAATCTCGACCTTCAGTTATTGATGCGTTCTCTAAAGCTGTAAGATAATATAAAACAGGCGTGTATATTTATTACTTGTTTATTTGATTTACCAAGGGTGATTCCTATTCCGTTAGGATGACGTACTCGGTACTTTGGTAAATGAAGATGTTTATATGACGCGCTATTATAAATTATTTACGGTCACTATGTTCCAGTGCGCTGGATTGATGACGTCCCCGAGATGAGCTCAGGAAGGAATATTATGTCAAGCCCTGCAGGCGGATGTGTATCCGACATAATGATTAAAGATCTGAGTGGTACTAGTTTCGGAAATGAATAAGAAGTTGATTATTTACTTTGTCAGTAATTTAATTAATCAACGGACGTTATATCTTAAACATGTGGAGGTAAATCGATCAATAAAATTAATAAATATTAATCAAGTGGAAGTTTGATTTAATTGATTAAATTGGAGCCAAATGGGAAGAGCAATAATAATATTCTAGTGGGATATATTATTATTTAATTTTATTAAGATTTTAGGAATTAATTTTATTTCTTATTTAATATTCCATGAGATAGGGAATATTCCTTCTAGAATATTACCTAGGGTTAGGAGACTTGAGAGTCTTCTAGAAGGTGATGTTAGGAGAAAGGAATCATGACCTAGTTGGGATTAATAAGTGGAGTAGAATTAGGATTCCTTGGCCTAATGGGATAAGCCCATATTTGGATAAATACACCATGTCCCAACCTCTTGAGATGTACTTGTGAGGCACGATTTTAAGGTTCCTATAAGGAAGAGGAAAATCGTATTCTTCATATATTTGAGAGTTGGGGAGATTCAATTAATCTCTCCACCATGATTAATTGAAGTAGGTGTTTAGGTAATCCATTAGAAGATTTTAAGGTGAGATTATATTAAACTCGGATCTTGGCAACCTTCGATACCGTGTCCTCGATAAACTTGGAACTGAGAACCTGTTTCTCGCCGACTTCATCCCAATAAAGGGGTGAGCGGCACTTGCGACCGTATAAAGCTTCGAACGGTGCCATCTTGATCGACGAGTGATAGCTGTCGTTGTAGGAAACTCCACAGTGGGTAACAACTCTTCCCACGAACCACCTCGCTATAAGACATAAGCTCGAAGCATGTCCTCAAGCATCTGAATGGTCCGTTCTGACTGTCCGTCGGTCTGTGGGTGATATGCGGAGCTAAACTTCAACTTCGTCCCGATGGACTTGTTCAGACTCTCCCAGAAATGGCCAGTAAACCAGGGATCTTGGTCTGATATAATCTCGACAGGAACACCATGGAGTCGAACGATTCCCTGGAGGTATGTCTCGTCTAACTGCTCCATGGACATGTTCATTCTGATGGGCATAAAGTGGGCCGACATCGTCAGCCTATCAACTACAACCCATACCGCGTTGTGGTGCTTGGACGACATCGGTAATATCGTGACAAAATCCATGGTCAGCTTCTCTCACTTCCACTGCGGAATCTCTAAAAGCTGCAAGAGACCCGGTGGCACCTTGTACTTGGCCTTTACTTGCCGGCAAATCAAGCACTTCTCAACAAACTCGTCGACGTCTCGCTTCATCCCCTTCCACCAAAACGACCCTTTCAAGTCGTGATACATCTTGGTGCTACCGGGGTGCGCCAAGTATAGAGCACTGTGTGCCTCTGTCAAGATCTCCTTCTTCAAGGCCTCGACGTTCGGCACAACAATCCTTCCCTTGTACTCTAAGGCACCATCTGTGTAGCGCCCCACTTTATTTTAAAGGATTTATCGAACTTATTTAATAAAAATCACAATAAATTTTTCGCAAACTTTAATTTAATTAAATACTTAGTGGGCGCTACTCAAATTTACCAAAAGCCTTTAACCAAAAATGCAAACGTATCAAATAAAGACAGCATGCACGGATAATAAATCATAAACCAAACTGGCATTCATTAAGTTTCAAATCATAAAGATAATTCACAATTCCAAGTTCAAAACGACACAGTCATAATATCTCAACATAAATGAGCGAAAGCAAATAAATAAGCGATAAATAAAAGCATGACCACCACCCGTCTTGTCACGTCACCCGCCAACTGCTTAACCTGCATCAGTTATGAGCAGGTGGGAGTGAGTACAGTTAACTATCGTACTCACACTATGCATATGAATAACATAATAATGGTATGGTCGCAGCATGAACATAAACAATAAAATCATGTCACATCTCTAGCCACATCAATGACTATAGTCTCATCAAAGACTCACTCATGTACATCTATGCTCATCAAAGCTAAGCCATGCCATATCAGTGAAACATGGGAGTGCGTGCCACATCAATGACACGGCCTTCTCATAGGTCTTAATGAGATTTACCTCACTGGGTAACCGTATCTTATCATACGGGGACAACCATATCGACGACCATCAAGCTCACATCGATAGGCTACATGTTCATTTTCATACATAGATCACACCAAACTTTCATCACAATTTAAATCACACATATGCATAGATAATTTTAGAATAACCCACCTGGATTCCGGATTGATAATAACTCAAAGCAATTGGAAGTAGGTCGAGGCTGGACTCCTCAATTACCTATATTGAGTCAAGATGCTACAATCAACATCTATCTTGACTTTAAACGGAAAACACAAAACAGACCTAGTCGAACTTGTTTCGACTAAGTAGGTCGTGAAGTCTTGTGGATGTTGGAACACTAAGACTCGGCACTAAACTTGACCAAAAAACATGTGAGAGTTCAAATAATTCCATCTAATGATAGACCAAGTCAAACTCACAACAAAACGAAAAGCATGTAAATCACAGATTTAACTTCAAAATCTTAGTTTAGAAATTTCTAGCTATTAATCACATGAAATTCATTGACCAGGCTGCCCTACGACTTATGCCTTGAAATTTTAACAAAAATTACATCTCCTAGTAATTAGTAAAACCACCAAATTTCAGCTTCAAACTCAAAGCACATAAACTTATAAAATTCCTACAAGAATTCAGCAAAAACGCACATAAATTTATATCTGAATCTAGTGAATGAATTAGGACTTGAGAATTTAACATAACAACATACATCATGCTAGAGACAATGTATAAAAATCTCAGCCCTTAACATTAACTGCTGCTATTTTTAAAAATTCATACGAGATTCCGCAGTTTATCAAATTTAAATCAAAACCGAATCAAAATAGATTTCAAAAATTTCCATCTTTTACCAGCATGATTCTACACATAAATTAAGTATGTCATTACAATTTCAGAATTTTTCATCAAATAACCGATTTATAAAAATTCAAACAATTTTCAGCAGATTCGACAAATAATTTATTACCCATATCAAATCAAATCCAAAAATTCTAAAACTTTAACACAAGATATAAAAGTCACAATGGCATAACATATTCGAATTTCAGCTCATTTGGTTCACGAGTGAATTTATTATGCAATTAACACTATTCTGATCAGATTTCATTATAATTATTAAAAATAGCTAAAGGCTTCTAAAAATCACGAAAGTTTTACATAATTCTGGTAATGAACAGAAAAGATCACCCTCATATTTTCAAATCGTTTCGAGCAGAGAGCTATTTTTAAAAATTCAAACACCAAAACAGCAACTATTAAGCTCGACAACTTAGCAATTAATTCATCACATGAAATTTCTCGTCCGAGGCCTTATCGTAAGACCAAAGACTCGACTTTGTTCCAATATCC